ATATATGTGTATATATATATATGTATATATATATATATGTATATATATATATATATATATGTATATATATATATATATAGGTACTTAGTGCACATTTAAACCAAGTAGTGAGTAATCTTAGTGTTGTTTTACTGTTTAAATGATCATTTGACTTTGTGTCTCCGTCTCTTGACAGTCTGGACAGGTGAAGCAACTGCAGCAGCTAAACTTTCCGTTTATGTTCAATTTATAAGGCAGTTTAGTGCATAAAGAATTTGTCTAATGAAAAATCCAAACATTAAATTTATTTTTTAAAATTAGCTAGAAAATAAAAATCTGAATTAGTTGAGGCACTTGTGGTTTTCCCCTTTTAATTAACTCATTGGCGCCCTCTGCTGGACATTTCGTCTCATTTCTTTGTTAATAGTCACATAAATGTTGCCCTGCTGGAGCTCTGTTTGGTTTCTTCTTATCAAGTCAAAAATAAAAAACAATTTATTTTTCTTTCAGATATTAATAAGCTGCTAAACTGAATTTATCGAGCGATTTAAACATTATTATTGCGTTGTAGTCAGTTGAGTTTCTACTGCTCGAATGCCTTCCTGAGCACCCACACCTCGTTCCTGCGGTTGGTGAGTTTGAAGGGGCTGTCGTAGCCGGCCGTGTAGTACGGCTGATCAACAAACTCCACGCCATCCCTCTTCAGGCTCTCCATCAGCTTCAGCAGCTCGTCTCGCCTCATATTATCATTGGAGAAACCACCGTAAGTCCTGGGAAAAGAAGACAATGTTACACATGGTGGATTTAAACTTTTAATATTACCGTAGTCTTCACCATGTAAGTCGCACCTTTTTGCATAAATTTGCAAGTCCTGCGACTTATATACCGAAGTGACTAAAATACATTTTTTTTTCCATATTTATAACCCAGTTGTTGGCTGAGATCTGACGATTTCATTCATTCTGAAATGGAAAATATTGAACACTACCATTTTCAGCCACTAGAGGGCCCTCAACTATTATGGCAAGCCAAGTGTCTTATTAATAGGGAAAAGTAGCTATTAATGAGACGCTTAACTTGCCATATCAAGCCACCTTCGTCTCGCTCTGGAACTCCTGGAGCAAACGTCAAATCAGCTGCATTTCACCACGCCGCCCAGGCGAAATGCAGCTGATTTGACCATTAAAGTGCATTTATTAAGGAAAAGTTTAACTGAGACACACCTTTACTATATTGTCAAGCAAACAAATAATTGTTTTTAAATGTTAATCTTGTTAAATTCTTCTTAAAGTCCTCATGTGCCCGCTCCCGTGGCTGCCATTTGGCTGCCAGTTGATTTTTGGCACACCGGCCCATGTTTCCAGGTTGTCAGGGGTTTTGCATAATAGATCAGAGTTATACGGTGAAGCGATGTATTTATGTTGGGGGTTTTTTTTCTTCAACTTTATTAGACATTTTTGGATTGATGTGACTTACCGTATTTTCCACCGTACACATCGCTCCACCCCATAAGTCGCATCAGTCCAAATATGTCTAATAAAGTGGAAAAATACATAAATACGTCACATCTGTTACACGTCACCGCTGACAACCTGTAAATGTGGGCTGGTGTTGTGCCAAAAATCGATTGGCTGCCCAATGGCGACCGCGGGAGCGTGCACTGGAGGACTTTAACAAGAATTTAACAAGATTAACACTTAAAACAATTATTATTTGTTTGCTCAAAATTATAGTAAAGGTGTGTCTTAGTCTAACTTTTACTTAATAAATGCACTTTGACGGTCAAATCATCTGTATTTCAAAAGTATTTGCTGTCTCGGTGCTCTGGGAGCGCACTCTGAGAGAGGAAATCAGGAAGGATAAATGCTGCGCATTTCTTTGAAATTTAACAAGATAAGCACCTAAAATAATTATTTGTTTGCTCGACATTATAGTAAAGGTGTGTCTCAGTTTAACTTTTACTTAATAAATGCACTTTAATGCTCAAATCAGCTTCATTTCACCGGGGCGGTGCCGCAAAATGAAGTTCATTTGACGGTTGCTCCAAGCGAGCTGGACAAAGGTGGGAGTTATGGCAAGCCGATTGTGTCATTAATAGTCACTTTTCCCTCTTACATGACACAAGGGCATGCCATACTCTGCTGCCATCTAGTGGCTGAAAATAGTAGTGTTCAATATTTCCAGTCAGAATGAATGAAAACGGTCGTATCTCAGCCAAAAAATTTTTATAAATATGGAAAAAATTCATAAATACGTCGCTTCGGCGTATAAGTCGCAGGGCATTTAAATTATGCCAAAAAAAACATCAACTTATACAGCAAAAAATACAGTACATGGCGGTGCAACTTTTACAGAGGAAAATACGGTACTCATCAGCGTGGTTGTTCTTTACCTGACGTAGGCGGCGAACTCTTTCCTGTGCTCCACAAACACCTCGGGGTCGCTCGGCTCGGGCGGCTCGGCCTGAAGTTCGTCTGGGATGTAGAAGGAAACGGTGAACTGAGACTCGCAGTTTGGGCCGGCTCCAGGGTCAACACGGCACGTCACAGGCGCAGTCATCTCCACTTTGGCCTCTAAAAACAGCAACGTAAAGAAAACAGGCGAGCAACGCGAGTCAAATCTGATTTTCTAAACAAACCATCACTTTACATCAGCTAAACCCAAAGCTTAGAGCACGTCGTTTCCTGGCCGCACATAAACACCATGTTTAACAGATAAAAAGGATTTAACATGCTTGTTTTTTTTTTGTAGGAAGCACCTTCTTCTGCTGCAGCGCTCAGTCAACAGCCCAGACAATAAAAACTATCATCAATAACGCTGCAGGAAACTGCTGAGTCAGGCTAAGGCTGCCGTGCTGCCCCAAACTGCTGAGCAGCAAATAAAATCACTTTCCTCCTGCATTCATTCATCGACTTCTCAGATGAACTTCATCTTAATAACGTTTCGCTTGACTTGCTCCTTTTAATTGTTACATTTTGTAAATGTCAACGCTTCATATTAAGCATCTCTACAACACAACAGCTTTAACAAAAAAACACATGCGTGCAAGTTTTTTCTTTAATCTTATTAAATCATCTTGCAGAAAGTAATTGTTGTAGCCATTTGGGTCAAACCTTGAAAATGTTACGTGCAATCTGACGCAACATTGTGAGAGGTCATGCTCAGATTATATGCAGTGAATGACTCTCAGCTACTACCACGACCAACTTTAGCTCAGCGTCTAAGTTCTCTGAGCTGCAGACGTTTTTCTGTCGGCTGGCGTCGATTAGCTACGGCAACCAGTTTGCCTCTAAAAGTTAATCAGCTGTGGCTCTCTCTAAAAGCTTCATGAAAAGTGGTGCAGTGGTTCATGAGACACAGAACACACAGACAGGCAACATGATCGCCCACCTTTGTTCTTTCTGCAGCGGGCGATAAAAAAAAAATGGCTGCACAGAAGTTGCAGAGTTTATTTTCACCTTGGCTGTGGACGGGAAAACGTTTGAGTCAGTTCAAACTAACTTTTCTGATTGTTTCCTTGGATGTAGTTGAAGAGCCTGCGGAAGCCGGTCTTCATGGCCTCCTCACAGTGCATCCCCTTCAGAGAGGTGCTCACCCATTTAGTGGCATGATAAGTGCGGATCTCGTAGTCCTGCTCCTATAAAACACACACACACACACACACACACACACACACACACACACACACACACATCACAGCTGCAGCTCAGGGTGTGTGCATTTTTAGTTTTCAAATGACCTAAAATTCAGCCTAAAAAACTCTTTTAGCGTGCAGTCTGATGGAGAACATTAGCTGCTTTGACAAAACATTACACAAGAATATGACGACGGTGGTCAGACCACTCATATTTTTGCAAGACGTTTAAAAACTTGTTGAAAAAACTGTTTAAAAACACAAATCGTCACATAAATTTAACCTGGCCAACATTCATCAAGTGGAATACACTTTAGTAGTTATAATTTTGTTGAACTCCAGAAGCAGAATAATGTAATTATATTAATGATTAAAATAATAATAATAAATGATTGTAGTGATTTTGATTTACAGGTGAAGCAACGGTTCAAACTTTCTGTTTGTCTTTGTCGTCTGTTCTTTTTGTATGAATTTTGATTGTTTTTTTTTCTACATCATTGCTCGATTGTAAGTTTTATTTTTACATTTAGGATTACCGTAGTAGTGCGCCCATTTAAAAGCTTCGCAGACACAGAAATTAATTAAATAAAACTCAATTAAAGAATCAGTGAATACATAATTTAACATCTAACAATGCTCTATGTTCCTGCTACACAAACGTTAACTAAATTAATAAAATAATCATGCCGCACAGACCCTGTTCAATAATAAATAAATAAAATAATATTTTTGAAAATAAATGTGCAAATCTAAAGCCAGCTACCACATTAAGTCACAAGTACAAGCCCAAAGTGCATGTTTGCCAAACAAACAATGATCAAAACATGTTAAAATTATATAAATATAGGAAACTTGTGTATTTTTATTATCTGTGAGATTTGGGAAGTAAAAATGTGAAATATAAGTGTAGCAGTTAAAAGATAACCAGAAAAAAAACTGCACTGAATTTTTTACTGTTTTAGGAGCTGTAACTTCACGTGTCTCGTGACATGTAGGAAAACAGAGTTGTTCGCATCAACCCCAAAGTCTGAAGTTCTTAATTTTTACGAGTTAAGCTGGAAAACATTTACCTTTGCCTCTTCTGCCGTGAATTTAGGATTCTTAAGTCCTGTTGAGAATAAAACTTGTCCCACAGCTTTCAGCATGACTGTCAAACGGGTGTCTTCCAACAGAAAACTCCGGTTTCCAAACACCTACAAAGCGTCATTTTTTAAAACCAAAAAACAATGTCGAGGCGTTACATCACTAATTCATGGCAAACGCTATACAAACATTTTTAACTGTCAGTCGAATTAAAAAATATATAATTAACTAAATCCAGTAAAGATAAAATGTTGAATTTACTACATTGCTGCCTTATAAAAGGTGGGTAAATTACCTCCAAACGCGCGCGGTCAGTGTTCTGTAACGAAAATTCAGTGTTTTCGTAACATCGGTTCCTGTTACAAAACACTGACATCTGATTGGTTGAACGACTCAAACTTCACAATAAGAGTCCTGGCTGAGCCACGGTCATAGCTGACAAAATAAAAGACAAAATAACTTTCATTGAAAAATGAAAAATGACGGACAGATGTTTCAATTTTCAAAGCATCCATAAACATAAACATCAAGTCTTGAGGGAAGAAATGTAATCAGGCCATAAGGATCATGAACAGGAAGTCCATTCACATCAGAAATTAAAAATAACTAGAGAAATTGCATTTCCTTTGAAAATGCAGCGCTTAGAACTTTCTAATAACTGCTGAAATTAGCTAAAATAATAATAAATACATAAATACATTCTGAATTGTAGCTCGAATGGAAGAATAAGCCTAAATTAGCAGAATAAAGCAGAAAGAAAATGTATTTGCTGAAATAGGTTATAAGCAGAAATTAGCATAAAAATTAGGAAATCATCTATTTAAAAATGGTTGAAAATAACAACAACAAAAAAAGCTGAAAGATAGCTAACAGGTGGAAAGAATCTTAAGCTATCAGAAGGAAGTGGAAAGAACTGAAATGAGCTATAAATTAAAAAAAGTGGAATTAGCTGAAAAACTCAAATTAGCATCAGAATAGCTAAATAGCAGCTGAAAGAGCAGAAAAAGCTGAAACTAGCACAAAAAAGCTGAAAGGAGCATAACAAGCTGAAATTAGCATAAAAATGTTAATTGGGCTGAAAGTAGCAGAAATTACCCCAAAAACGAATTTATCAGAATCAGTGATAAATGAATTTATCATTTCAGCTGCAGCTGAAATTAGTTAAAAATGATGAAAAAATAAAAAGGTAGCTGAAATGGTAGAACATTACCAGAGCAGAAAGAACATGTTTGCCCAATTAAGCTGAAAGCAGATTAGCACAAAAAGTGGAAATTATCTGAAAATAGTTTAAATTAGCAAAAAAAAAAAAAAAAAAAAATGACAATACAGTGAATGCTTCAAACATTCATACAATAAATTTGACTCAATAACTCAGAGCATCTAATGGGAACGGTTCCTTTACATGAAACCTCTCAGGAGCCACGTATTTTGTCAACTCCTGGTAAACAAAGGAATTAGTGACGCGTGAAGCTCAAACTAAACTGATTGGCTGAATGTTAGAAAAAGCTGAATCAGCTTCTTAGAACATACCAACACTCATGAATGCCTTTGCTTCTTTTAATATACGGTTGTATTGCAGGATTTGCTTTGTTTAACCGCAATAGATATGTTTCTATTGTGGTGTGCATTTTTATTGTAAGCTCTTTTAAAAAGACCGGCATCACAAATTAGCCGACTATAAATGCTACATCACATTATATTTACTACACGGTTATCCCTAAACAAATAAATATTCAGAGTAATGAAACTACATGCTGTGTATATTTAGTTTAATGGAAATTAGAAGGCATTATGGTCAAAATTTCACCTTTAGTCCATTTTCACCAACTTGCTAAAACCATTGTAGCACCTTTCGTTTATTTACTCCGTTCCTATTTACATCCATCAGTGAGCTCACCCAACAGGAGGACAACAATACGCAGCATTTAAAACTACTTTTAGAGCACGCGAGGCATGGTCACCCCAAAAAGACGACCTAAAAAGTAACAAAACACTTTTAAAAGTTTCAGGTCATACGCAGTTCATTACAGAGTAAACATGGATGGAAGAGAGCTGCTACATCTGGACTGATCAGTTGAAATGATGCTGAGGGAAGCCAGAGCAGAACCAACGTGGTTTTGGTGTCCACAAGCCTGAACGAAACCACCTTCTTGTTTAACTCGCAGCAAATAGTGCAGTCTGTGGTTAAAGACAAAGTTTAACTGTGATCTGGGGAAACACACAAATATGATGACTGAGGAACGGCTGGAAAAAGACTGGATCTACAGCAGCATGCGAGGAGCAGCAGCATCTGTTGGTCTACGATGAGGTCAGGCAGTTTAGAGCAGAAGGCAGCGAAAGGTTGGGGAGGCTAACCAGTTCAGTCATCGTCGTTGCTGCAAAAACAGTTTTTTGACTTCAGCTCCACAACTCCTCTCAACTCAAAATGCTCATAAAGCTGTTTATTATTTGACCTTAAACCCAACAATAACATAAAAAAACATTTAAATGTAAAGACCTAATTGTCCTTTCATGATCAAATCAACTGGTGCATCATTGTCCAAAGTTCTGCATGCTCCACGAGTGAGTGCACCCTGAACAGCTGAAGACGCTCTCAGGAACTGATCCTCGCTCAGTGCTGGTGATGCTGGTGGATGAAGGATAAAACGTCATTTTTGGAAAGTTTCTCAGAGTCCATCCGGGTCTGAGAGTCGTGAACTATGACCCCGTCCACCCAGGCCCAGAAGAGTCGCTCAGAGTGGCAAACGCTGGAGGAGAAAACAGAAACACTATTCAGGGCAGCTCCTCATCCTCCATGCAGATACCGGAGCAGAAATCTGAATCGAGCGGTACGTACTGGAAAGGAGCGGCAGCATTTGGTGGCATGTCGTACGTTGATTGCTGGGTTAGTTTGTTAAAGAAAAACTTCTTGTTGGAGTTTTTGCTGTAAGCCATCGTCCACGGCTCTGAGGGGGGAACGGGAAAAAAAATATTTCAGAAATTTAGCAGTTGTTTTGTAAAAAAACGTATATGAACCCATTAATGTTGCCACACAGTCAAAATCTAACCCTCCAAGATGTTTAAAAGGTATATTACAGCACCAGTACGAACCAACGACAGTCTTAATGATGTAAAGACCCGTGGGAAGGAAATGTCGGTCATCTCTGCCGGTGTAGGACAGACGAGGAACGCCTCCAGAACTTTTTGTTACCTTCATCTCTAGTCTGGAAAAGAAAGAACACTAGTTGAGATGATCTTTTCCTATAAAAAGCAACAAAAAAAAAACATGCTTATTTAGCAAAAACTATAAATACAAATGCCTCGTTGCAAACTTTGTTTGTTGTATCTAATGAAGAGCAGTTTGTCGTACCTGACAAAGATTTTCTCCATTTCCTCCAGCCTGTAAACTTCCTTCACTCTGAAAAAAGCATTCAAGTACTTATTTTATATTTTAATAACTCATGTGCATTTATTTTAAAAACTTTAAGTCTTAATTGTGTTTGAAATTAAATTATTTAGACAATTGGACAATAATATTATCAGTAATTCTTTTGATCACTGCAGGCTAAATCTGGCCTTTGGTCAAATTTAATCTGCCCCCCAAGACAATAATTTAAATCTATTAGATTGTCCCATCATTCAGTGACAGAATAAATGAACAAATTCTTTAACACTAAGGGAAAATAATTAATAAATTGATATTTAATATTAACTAATCAGTCAAAACAAATTACTCATCAAGAGGAAAAAACAATATAGGCCTGTCACGGTAAGAAATTTTACTGGGCGATTAATTGTCTCAGAAATTATTGCGATAAATGATAATATGGTTTGAAATTTGACAATAATTAGTAATTACTGTCAAATTTAAAAAGAAATATTGGTTAATTTGTTTTGAGTGTAGTACCTGTTTTGACAACTGGATGGCAGTATAAGACTGTTTGAACCGAAGGATGGATAGAGAGGGAGCGAGCAGCGTGTCTCTTTAAGAAAATGGGAGGGAGGCCCCTTGACGTGGCATGGGCTGTCTCTCCTTCCTTTTTTCAGTTCACAAAATGGCGGATGCTCGGTGTGGTTTGAGCTCTTTAGCATAGCATTTTTCACATAAAGCTTTTAATTAAAAAAAAAAAATCATTAAAGAAGTTCTCAGCTTCTTTTTGCAGAGAAAAACTTTTTACACAAAGGCACGGGTTTCAACCGTGAATTATGGAGCTTTGACAAGACAAAGTTTTTTCCCCCCAAGTTTGGCTTGTTAGCTTAGCTCGTAGCTTAGCTGCTTTTAATGATCCAAAAACGTGATTTTGGATCGTTAAAATTGATTTTAAAGAGAAAAGAGAAAGGGAGGGGTCAGTGAAGAGCACCGGCGTTTAGCTTTTTGTCATCCAGTGTCTTCAGTAGAAAGAGAGAGACACGAAAAACGATAAAACCAATAAATGAAAATGAGGTCGATATCATTTATCATGCGATTTATTGATTTATTGTTTATTGCGACAGACCTAAAACAATATATAAGTTGCTTTGGAGTATAAGTCACATTTATTTAGAAGTGTATTTCACAAAGTGCAAGAACAACATTTAATCTGAAATAACAAAAACACACAGAACATACCTGGGATCCTGAACAGGCCTAATTAACATAACAAGTCAACGAGTCTGACAAGCTAGTTACCAGTAAATTCACCAGTCTTATTCCACATCACTTTTGGGGGCATTTTACTTGTGTTAAGTTTTTCTCAGTTGTCTCTTAAGTGGATGAGAGGAACAACATATAGTTGTCTAAAGCCTATAGGGCCCTCTTGTGGCTGCAAATGAAAATGTTTGCTCTTTGGTTCATGTCCGTATGAATGAACATTTAGCATCAGTCAAAAAATGCGTCATTAATAGGGAAAAAAAAAGTATATAAGTCGCTTCGGACTGTAAGTCGCAGGACTGGCCAAACTATGAAAAAAAGAGCGACTTATAGTCCGGAAAATACGGTAGCTTAAAAAAACTGAGCATGCTCAGTGCAAACTTCTTATAAAGCAACATTAAAGACAAGAAGAGTTTTTCAGGTTTTTAGTAAATTATTGTTTTACTGATTTGAAGGATTGTAATAAAGTTTATTAGGAAATATTTAAAAAAGGTGTTTTGATAAAGAGCAAGGCATAAGACGTAAATGCAAATTAGTTTTTTAATTGATCTTTTTTAATTATGTATGTAAACTCTACATTTCTTTAAAAAATAATTTGACATTTATCTCAAAACCAAGTTAATTTATATATATTTTTTCCATAAATTTTAATTGAGACTAGCCTTCAGTTGGATAAAAACCCATCCATAAATGACAAAGCAGCAGTCGGACTGGTCAAAGTAATTCCAGTTTGTACCTGATGGGGTTCATGTCTGGTCTGCTGGGTTTAGCCACCGCCTTCACAAACTTCTCCACCATCTGGATGCTGGAAGTTAAAAAAAAAGAAGTGTCATTTCTTAAACTAAGGCAAGTAATAATGTCATTTTCACATTTCTAGATGATATTTTAATGTTGTAGATTTCTGTAAAAAAAGAGATACACGTTTAGAAAAATACAACTTGAAAAGCCAAGACAAAAACTGAATTATCAGTTAAGTCGTTTTAAAGATCGCATAAAACGCACAAAACAGCTTAACTATATTTCCCTTTTTAATACAATTTAAATAAGCTTTAAGAGAGAAAACATAACCCACATTAAATAAAAAAATCTCTAAACTTCACTTTAGATAACACGAATATTTGGAGTCTTAAAACAAAAAGTCTGGGAACTAGAAGATTATTCCTCACCGCTGGTTGAAGTGTCGATCTCTGACGTCAGTGCCGTTAAGTATCAGAGCATCCATGACGTGAACAGCGTTGATTCTGCGCTGAGCTTTACCCTGAAAAACAAAAAGGTGCAACAAAATGCAAGAGACACTTTGAATTAATAAGGATGATGAATGAAATCTGTCTAATTGTTGTCTTTAGTTATGCAGACTGTTTGAAATGCTTTATAATTCCAGTCATCTGCAAAGATTCATGTAGCAAGAACTATAGTGAATAAAGTAAACCATACAAAAGTTTGAAACTTGTTTTTATTCTTTCCTCCTCTCACCTCGCCCTTCAGCTCTTGAACAATCTCCACACTGAGAAGCGTATCTCTTGGCAGCTCTAATTTGAAATTCTCTATTTTCGTCCAGCGTACGGGCATCTTCCCATCCCATGTGTAAATCTGAGACTTCTACAGAATAAAACAGGGAAAAGGACAATCTTTGCATATCTGTTTTTGCTCATAATGTTTACCTCTAAGAAGAAAACAACAGTCCAAGAGTTGCCGTCTCTTTATTCGTACCCCCAGTGCAAGAAGAAAGATCTGCTCCCCGCCTCCCACAATGCACCTGTAGTCAAAGATCGTCCGCAGCTTGCTGAGCGTGCTGGAGTCAAGTGGCGTGAGCTTACTCTGGAACAAATCCACATCTGAATTCTGAGGAATAACATAGTAAATGGTAAATGGACTGTACTTATATAGCGCCTTTCCATCTTATCAAGGTACTCAAAGCTCTTTACAACACAATCTGTGCCTCATTTACCCATTCATTCAGCACTCTACTAGACCTGTACAAAGAATAATCAGTGCTTTATCACATTCATTCACCGATGGGACACACATCAGAGGCAATGAGGGGTTCAGTGTCTTGCCCAGGGACAGTTGGGCATGTGACTGCTGGCGGAATCGACCCCCCAACTCTTGCATTAGAGGACAATTGCTCTAACCACTCAGCCACAGTGTGTATCATCATCATAACAATAAAAAAAAAATCACGTTGTTTAATGAATTTACCTAATGGAAGCATATAATGTGCATGAATCTTCATCATACACGAAAGTTAGTCATGGAGTTCCTCAGGGTTCGGTGCTTGGACCAATACTCTTTACCTTAAATATGCGTCCATTAGGTAAAGTTGTTAAACAGCATGGGATAAATTTTCAATGTTACGCTGATGATACAGTTATATTTGTTCATGAAACCCAGTAACAAATGAAGAATAATTTATAATTATTTATAAATTATTTGTAATAACATATAAAGGCCAAATTAACTAACTCTAAACTCAAACAATAGTTGTGTATTTGTTTTGTATTTGTTTGCCTTTCATGATTAACAAACTGAAAACACTAATTTGATTAATTTAACAGGACTTTTTTTTTTGTAAACATTTTTATCTGACCTTAATATGTTCATAAAACTTTGATTTGGGGTCTGATGAAGAAGGAGCGACCCTGGCCTTGTCTGGTACCTGAAAATACCAGTAAACAAACCCAAGTTATAGAAAATACTTGAAAGCATAAGTAAAAAGACAATTCAGTCTGTTAAGTGTCAGAAGAGGAGTTCCTCCACTCACCCCCCACAGCTTAAGACACTCCTTCCTGATGTCAGCTTGTCTCGGCTCTGAAAGTGTCCTAAAGATATTCCCACAATGCAACACAGTCAGTTTCAGACATAAATATCCTCCTGCTATTCAAAACTAAACATCAGTGAACATGTTTAGCTGTGCTTACTCACGGTTCTACAACAAAAGCGTGTATTTTAGCCAAGGCCTTGATCTGGACCGCACAGAGGCTGCAGACAGAAGAAGAAAATTCAGTCTTTGTCAGCTATTGTTTCATACTCGGTCCTTAGATTTGGAGACAACTGTGTTTTTACTTCTCATTGGAGTTGACCATAAACTGGTGAAAGTCAGTATCGTCCTTTATGATGCTCAGCGGAACCACTTCTGTAACGTCTGTGTCTTTGTTCCTGAGCTGGTTCAGTTTCAGGTTCACTCTGAACATGTACTGTCTGACTGCGTCAGAGCCCGGTTTCAGGCTTCGACACACGATGTACCTGTTGGTGGAAATGTGACAACAGATCAGCATCTTAGAGACAATAGAGAAGCAATCATTGACATGAAGATGGACAAAGTGACTCCATAACGTCCAATGTCCAAAACTGAAGCAACAATGTCACGTTCTTTTGTGCTGCCGTGTTTTATTCTTTGAAGCATCCAGACACATGGGACTGTACCAGCTTTACAAAAAGTCCTGCCTGCACACCCTCCAAACTCGCAAACAGGTTGTCTCGCTGTAACTCACAGTGAACACTTTTTTAAAGCCTCATTTAACTGAATGAAAATAAACTTAATGAAAATCTGTCTATAAAAAATTTAAAAAACGGCATCAAGAGAAGAAATACAAGAATCTACAAGAGTCAGCGCTTAAAACTATAATCTGATGTGTATTTTATTCTTTAGTTAGGAAAACGTCCCGTTTACAAGAAGGGGCGGGGCTTAAATTTGTACTGCAGCCAGCAACTAGGGGGCACTCGCCCTCTGTAGCTTCAACTTCTAGATTCTGGTCTTGTTTTACGATGCAGTCTTTCTGGACTGAATAACTGAACTACGGTCATCATCTGGTAGATTTTTTTTTGCTGAAAGAAAAAAATTGCATTACTGCCTAAATAAACAAGAAAAACAAAACATTCTGCATATTGCTTGGTTGAGATTTAATTTTTTTGTTATTTTTCTTAATCTTCAAAATGCTGTATACAAGAAATACATGTCGACAGAACTATTTCAGCCCACGCTGGTCTAGCTAGGCCTGTCATGATAACAAATTTTGCTGGGTGAGTAATTGTTTCAGAAATTATTGCGATAAAAATAAAATTGTTTGAAATTTGACAATAATTAGTAATTGTCAAATTTAAGAAGAAATGTTAGTTTATTTTTGTGTGTAGTACATTTTTTGACCACTGGATGGCAGTATAAGACTGTTTGAACCGAAGGATGGATAGTAAGGGAGCGAGCAGCGTGTCTCTTTAAGTAACATGGGAGGGAGGCCCCTTGACGTGGCATGGGCTGTCTCTCCTTCCTTTTTTCGGTTCTTAAAATGGCAGATGCTCAGTGTGGTTTGAGCTTTTTAGCATAGCATTTGTCGCTCAAAGCTTTTAATAAAAAATCAGTAAACAAGTTCTCAGCTTCTTTTTACATTAAAAAAAAACATATTTTTAGACAAAGGCACTGGTTTCAACCGTGAATTTTGGAACATCGACAAGACAGAGGTTTTTTTCCCAAGGTCGGCCTCTTAGCTTAGCTCGTAGCTTAGCTTTTCAACTAAGCTGCTTTTAACGATCCAAAAACATGATTTTGAACGGTTAAAATGGATTTTAAAGAGAAAGGGAGAGGTTAGTGAAAAGCACCGGAATTGAGCCTTTTGTCGTCCAGTGTCTTCAGTAGAAAGAGAGACACAAAGAAACGATAAAGCCGATAAATGAAATTGAGGTCGATAATCTTTATTTATTATGTGATTAATTGATTTATTGTTTATTGTGACAGGCCTAGGTCTAGCATCCATAAAAGGTGAGTTACATTTGCATTAAATTAGAGTATGTTGTAGTTTTTCATGTCTGGTTTACACACTGTAACAGAGCCCACCTCTCTGAGTTGGCAGGTCGACTGGTGACGGGTTTGAATAGTGAAATCCTGTCGAAGCAGAGGTAGAGGAGGTAAATCAAGCCAACACTGAAGGGAGTGAAGAGGTCAAATGTTTTACAGACAAAATGGCCACCTGGAAGAAAAGAGATAAAATAATCATTGCTACAAAAATGCGCACAAATGTCATAAAAGGACAAGAACGCCCCGTGACTCTTTCATCAACCAACATTTACCAACCTGGCCTAAGTGTAGAGAGAGCAGTGAGGAACTGACACAGCAGCAGTTGTTTAGAGAGAACCTCCTGCAGATTCTCTTGACCCTCCACAGAGAAACCCTAACAAAGGCACAGGTTACACTAGAATTAGTCTGTTTAGTGCTTTTGGATGCTTTAAAAAAAAAAAAAAAAAAAACAATCATACTCTTCAAAAATCTTACCCCATCTGCCATGAGGAAGTGCAGCCCTCTTCTTTCTGTATTTTCCATAACAAAGTTACGGAACGCAGTCACGTTTTCAGGCCGAGTAATGTCACCATCTCCATCCACTCCGCCCTCACCTGAGACACACGGAGGTCAGTCTTTAAATCACTTATTACCTGAAACATAACCTGCATCTCTTCTCTCCTTGCTGTGATGTGACGGTTTAATTAACGCACCATAGTAAGGCTCGAACAGCTCGCTCGGAGCTGCGTAGAAATCTTCTAGTTTGAAATCGCAGGGACCTTTCAGCGTCATGCCAAAGCCCTTGGCGTGCCAGCGTCTCTTCCACAGGATATACTCCGAAAAGCCTCCGGGTCCCGCACAGACGTCACCGAAGTACAGAAGCTCACCTTCGCGGTCCCTCGTCAGGGATTTCTGCACGGTAAGGAAAGGTATGACCTCATTATCTGTTTATAGGACTCGGCAAGTTTTCAATACAGCAGCTGCACACTCACCCCGTGAGAATCCTTTGGATTGGTAAACATGTGGTCGAAGCAGTGGTCGATGTTGGCCATTTTCATAGCTGCTCTAAATATACAAGGCATAAAAATAAATAAATAAATAGCTTTATAAAAGTCAAGTATAACTCAAAAAAACTGTTGCTTAAATATAATCCACACTGATTACTAGTCCTGGCTGTGGTTTAGAGTTGAAACCCTGACCTGTTGAGGAAGATGCCTCCTCTGATCGTCTCGTACGGGTTAGAGCGTGTTCGTGCTCTCCTCATCTCCTCACCATCCAGATCATCAAATACTGTCTAAACATCATACAAAATATAATTAGATGAGCACATGGCAATACAGTAGGCCCTCGATTATCGCAGAGGAGCCGTACCCTGAAGACCTGCGATAAGTGAAAAACCACGAAGAAGGAACAGTTGTACAAGTAGTAAATAGTAGTTTATTATATATATATATA